TGCTTGGGACACGCAACCCCATGGTTCTGGTTGCCATGCCTGGACGATGTGTTGGGATGTTGTTGGACCTATTGCTTTCTGTTGGAACACCCAGCTATTTGCTTCCTCAAGACAATCTTCACACGTTGATTGGCAGCAATGTGCACGTCGTGAGCTTGGACCCCCCCGCTGCCATGTTTCCATCTATGTAAAGATTTCCAGGACTATCTTTTTGGCTTCAGAGATCCTAGCACGGCAAAAAACACATTTACCCAGCTGTTAAGTGGCACGGTCTAAATCATGTTTGGTTGGTGGATTCCGCACTAAACAAAAGGTCAACCCCAAGAAAGAACGTTGTTTTTCTACCGGGTCGCTGGTTGTAACTGCAGCCTGAATAATGTTCAAGTCGGATCAAAGAGGCCTCCGAGGTTACCGTAACCAGGGACGACTACATGCTCTTCAGTTGGATTTGTTTGAACATCACTGCGGGCCATGGCTGTGTCCTTGTGGGGTGTCGTTCAGGTTGGACATGGCGGTGGTACAGCGGTGATGTATAGCTTCGCATTCGTCCAAACTGAAAGCCGAAGAACTTCGGGCCTTGACACTGACCAATTTAATCCAAGAGTATAGGGGGACCAAAAACACTCAGCGACAAGTCTAAGAAAGCAACATATACGGGGCTTTAAAAGAAATGGGAGGAGGGATGGGGTGGAAACTCTATGAGAAGGCCTGGCTGGGGCCTTTCAACCTTCCGACTTCTGTTGAGCGCCCCCGCATCCTCATTTCGGGTACTTAGAGCTGTTACCTAGCTGAATTGGGGTAAAGCCGGAAAAAAGAAGAATCAAAAAACAATGCCCTCATTTCGGGTGCTTAGGGCTGTTAGTTGAATTGGGGTTTCCGGGTACGGCCGAAAAGCATGCCTTGACTTATGGAGCATGTTAGTTCAGCCCTGGCGATTTCGCCGCGATTTCGCCCGGACGCGGCTCCGGGACGTGTTTCACCCTGCTTCCCTTTCGGAGGCCAATGCCGAGCTGAGAGCAGCAGAGCTGTGCCATGAGGTCGGGAGCCCGATCCAAAGCAAAGAATTCGCTCGGTTTTTGAACGTCGGACCCAGCTGATCCGTGGGGCAGTTACCACCATCAAAACCTAGGTCCCCCGGGTCCCCCAGTGGTGCCCTTTTGCGCGTTTCTTTTTTGGGGGAGGGCAAGCCCCTACTGAAATAGACTACAGAAAAAGTTGATACCCTTATTCTAACCTCTCTAAAACCTGGAAACAATGGGGGTAAATGTATCCACCATGCCTTAAGGATTTTCATTCAACTTGGGCCATTCTTTTCATTGGGGTTGGACCCCAGATACTATCCTCAAGATTTGGGTCGGGGAAGTCATATGTTCAGCTGGATGGATACTTCCTGGGTCGACTTCCTGGGTCCAAGGCCCCGATGGAAAGTGGCCGGGATACTTGACGAGTTCTGCCGGACCCCATATTTCACACGAAAAACGGGAGCCGGCTGCTGCCCAGGCAAGCCGGGCGGTTCCCACTCTTCCAATAGCTCAGGTCCCACTTTGAACCAATATCCAAACTATAGGTCCCCCAGTAGTGCCCTTCACCCCTTTTTTGGGGGAGGGTTCCCCTACTAGAATAGACTACAGAAGAAAACAACAAAGGTACCCTGATTCTAACCTCAAATCTGGAGGACCTAGCAAAGCTGGTGCCCTTCTTTTCTCTGGAACTCCGAAGCGACGATCCGTGCGCTTCGCTGAGGCGGTGGCCACAGAAGTCGCCGCCAGCAACTTGTGGCAAGACATTGCCAAGGTGGAAGGCTCCGCGAATTCCGCGGACACGTCGCGGAGTGGTTGGGGGGTACGCTTGGGGACCGGGGATGGCATACGTACGTACTGTCACGTGCCTTCTTTTCTTTGCCCCCGCCCCCCCCCAATTCCTCACTTCCTGAGTTGATGGACTTTAAACTTTTTGGGAAGACCATGTTAGTGGTAAATGAAAAGTTCAGACTTTTTTGGGCCAGTCAACTTGGGAAGTGAGATTCTTTGACGCCCGGTGCCCGGATCTTGGGGCGAAGAACATGCCCGAGGCGTCGCATGGGGCTAGACTCTGCGTCAGGGGGAAGCGCGTGGAACGCTCAAACTGCTCGAGGCTTTTCGGGGCCGTTTTTTTGGCCGAAGGATGTGCAGACAGGAACCCGGGGGAACCCATTTGTTCGAATCCATGCAAGCAGTCGCCATAGGGAAGCTAAGATTTGGCCAGTCATCCTGGCGTCTGGGCTTGGAGATGGGTTTCGTGGGCTCCGAGGTTTGAGCAGGTCAGGATTCCTCCAGATAGGGCCTATGGCTAAAGTGTCCTGATTTTGGAGTTCTATAAGGCTGGACCATAGATGAGACAGAATCTGAAACTATATGTTGTGTTCCCAGAGTTAGAGCAAAACTTGGAATTTCAACCCACTTAGATAGTAAATTATAATAATGGTTACTGGGGACTTGGCAGTTTCCGTACGGTCACACGCTGGATCTTGCACCCTGGAAACCTCAGAAACGTTCCCTGAAAGCTCCAAATCACGGCTTCTGGTGGAAAAGCCAACTGGGTCCTCTCCTAGCTCAGGTGCCCGCTTGCTGATTTGTTTTGGCTCTGGGGTTTGAACCAACCAAGTTCTTGTGGAGGGTTTCCATGGTGTTTCCCCCCAACCGTTTTTTTCCCCAAACCAATCCAAACCACAAATTTGTTGTGTCTCTTTAGGGGACCCCGCCAGAAAATGGTTGGTGGTCCTTTTGGCTTCCCTTAAAAGCCAGCCCAAAACAGGTACCCTCCGAAGAGAGGCCCAAGCAGAGGGACGATGACAAGCGCCATGGTGGGGCAGGCCAGGAGCAGCGGCGGGACGAGCTCACGGAAGCGCTTCAGCAATGCCAGGCCCAGCAGGAGGCATGGCCTGTGATGGGGTGAGTGGAGGGGGGGGTTTGAGGGTTGGGTGGAGGGGGCCTGAAAAGTTGCTCCGAACTTCTCAGCAATTTAGGGGCCTAGTGGAAGTGTCCATTTCACCCACCAAGAGTTAAACATATCCTTGCGCATGTGATCTGAGGGCAGCCCAGACCAAAAAAGAACCAGCGCGACAAACAAAGCCTTTGGAATGGAGGTGTCTTCTTTTTTGTTTGGGGGGGGGTCGCCAGTTGGTTCGCCAGGTGGCTTGCATATGTGGGAGACCTACAACTTTCGCTGAGAACGGGTTAGCTTGGGGATTTGAAATTTGAACCTCTGGTTCTTAAAAGAGGGTAAATAGGCATCCAATCCAACGCAAAACCGCCACTCCAAGCCATTTTTCTTCGAGGCAAGCTGCCCGATAGCCCAGGAGCTACGAGCGCAGATCTGGGACCAGGAGCCGCAAGCTCAGAGGATTCACCATTTGTTTGGAGTTGGTAGCGGTTATGAATGCCCTTGGTTGTTTCCACATTCAGAATTACAAGGCTCCTTAAAAGATACATTTTGCAACCATTTGAAACATGTTGTTGTTTTCCACCAAAATAAAGGGAAACCACCATTTACAAGGCAATGTTCGGGTGTATAATGTAAGGATCCCTGAATTATGCATGCATAAGGCAATTGGAAAACCATTCTTAGGGTCCCACTTGGTTAATTTGGTTTACGTATTCATGAAAAGGGAATGTAGACACCCGTCGGCCATTGGTAGAGTTCCAATGGAGGGGGCCATGACCATGGCAGAACCAGCTGGGCGTTTGACGTCCTTTCACACCTTGGCGAAATGTTTCAGTGCTTGATTCCTGCAGGCGCTCCAGACTTTTTCCTAGGGAAACCGATGGATTCCATGCGCCCCCTGTTTCGTGCTATGCTTTGAAGGCAGCTCGGATCTGGTCCATTCTATGCTTTCCCGTGCTTCCAGTTCTGCAGCCGTTGGGATGGTCGAAAACCTCCGTACAAAAGATAGCGGATTTGTTGCGTCTTTGCGCAGCTGCTGAATCCGGGGTCGGTTCCCCTTTCAACGAAACAATATTCGATGTTCTTGGTATGTTGTTTGGTCTCGTGTGGGGGCAAAGAAAAAACCAAGTTGTTTGATCGAGCATTATTCATTTGTTCCGATGAGCCAGTGTGCAAGTTACATACGATCACCATGACGGATTGCTAAGTTAGTATGGATGCATGTTGGCCATATGTTGAACATATTAATGTGTTTGCCCGTGTTACTGGTTGAATTGCAGGGCTTCCTGGTCCTTGCGAATCAGGCGCAAACCGGCGATCCAGCGACTGAGATGCGTTGAGGCAGTGTGACTCGGAGCTACTTGCCTCCTTGTCAGAGCCGGCAGCCCAGCACAGGGTTTGGTTGTGCTCGGAAAGAGTCATTTGCTTACTTGGAGTTGGGTCAATTGCGGAAGTTCGAACGCCTCAAGAATCTAAGGACCCACATCGTCGGAAGATGGTTTGAAAGGGAGCTGCGGAATGTGAGATTCGGTTTCCACGCATTGCGGGTGACACAAATAGCTTGTTCTTTAGTGCGCTCCATGTTTGTGGTTCAAATGTTTCCTAGAATGGCACCGTCCGATGGGTGCCTCTATCCTTGAAGGCCTGCTCTTGAGCAGAGGGTGTGGATGTGCAACATATTTTGTTTGATAGCCGGTGTCCTGTTTTAAGACAATCAAAAGTGGCTTCTACTTCCAAACCACCAGCTGCCAGAGCTATACAGCCATGTTGCCACTATAGAAAGGGTATAGCTCCCCATTTTCCCTCGATGTTGTGGCTTGGGGTTGGAAACCATTTTGCAGGCAAGACCTGGATACGGATAGGGCCTTTTTAAGGCCTTATTTCGAGGAAACCAGGGGAGGGGTCCGGGGTGCCCGAATCCTGTGACATGGACCGCTCTGACGGGTGTGGAGATGGGATTTCCAATGATTTCCCAAAGTTTTGACAAGGTAGCAGGAATGCCAACGTGTTCATACTTGGGCAAACCATGACCCCTGTTAGAGATTTTAAATGTTAGCAGATGGCTCATGATCATTTGTGTCGTGTTTGGCCTCCTTATTTTCGGACGTGCCCAATTCTGCTGGAAGGCGTCCTCTTGCCCAGGAAACCTCAGTGTTTTGTGCAGCTCAAGCCGTTTTGGCTCAGCTAACCCGCGCCGCGCACAAGTGAATCGATTTCGACCATGGCCTTCAACTTCGGCAGGACGGGCAGGACGAAGCTCCACTCAAGTCTTGGTGGGTGGGCTGCTTTTGGGTGAGCTTGGATTAGATGGGATTGCTGCGGGTGTTCGGTTGGTTCAGGGTGGGCTTGTATAGTTGGATTTATATAGGCTGAGTTGGCTTCAGGTGAAGTATGAGACAATAAAGCCCACTTCACATCGCCACCCGTGTCCCTGAGATATTTAACCAATTTTGTCTTTGAAGGGCAATCTAAGGAAATGATTGCACTTGTATTTCCTGGGATGCCAGGAACCCCTTGAAGCAAAGAAGTCATTGGGAATGCCTTCCCACGCAACACAGATACCTCACCAGGTTCCTTCAAGCGTGCCGACTCAAATTCCCTGGCGGGGGGAGCTTAGCTTTGGGGGAACCATGAACTATGGGCAGGTCTGTTCTTGAGCGTGCCTTTTTCGGGGTTGAAACCACAAGGCGAACCAAGTTTTTTTTCTTTTTTTTTCTTCTTCTTTTTTGAGGGGGGTCCCTTAAAAACGCCACCCATATTTTCCAGCTTCCCCCCATTTCCCAAAGACCATTGGAAAGCGAAAAGAATGGGGGATCAGCCTTTAGAATATCAATCATTACACCAACTCAAAACCTTCAAGCTCTGTGGGCCTCCTACGAACCAAACTCACAAGCCGCGAGCACTAGAGTTTCGGCAGATAGGAGGGGTGTACTTTAAAGGAGTTTGACATGTGGCCGTGGTTGTCAAAACCAATGGGATCCCATTTTGGGGTAGGTGCACCATCCATTTTAGAACCTATTTTGGTGGGGATTGGGATGTTCACTGGGGGTACGGGATTTTGACCCATGGCCATGTGACTTCGCGGGGATTTCGGGCGTTCGATCTCCTCGGTTCCCAGGATGGATGCTGAGAATGTGAACCCCCGCGCCCGCAGCTCCCGCGGCCGAAGCTTGACGTTAGCGCCTATGAGCGACCAATTCCGGAATTCCGGTCCGTTCAACACCCTAATCTGCTGCAAGTCTTACAGGGGGAATAGACGCATGCTCCTTGGATTCCTATGTAATGCATCCTCCACACCAAACCACCTGAAAATTGCTCAGAAACACAAGAAAGCACACATTACATGAGAGGTCATTCTTGGGGAACATTAGTGGGAATGGGGAATGGGAAAAGCCTTGCTTTTGATTATTCACAGCGCCCAAAAACCAAGTGGCAATTATAGTAGGGGGTTCTACCTGGTGTGAGTGGGGTGTTAAACCCTGTATGAAGATTTATAGACGTCTTGGTAGAGCCAAAAGCCACTGGGCACGGCTCACATATGCATCTTTGGAAGTCTCCTCCAGGCTCGGGCTTTGGTTGATTGAAAGCAGCTCCGCTGCGTGGGTGTGTCTTAAAGTACGGGATACCCCAAAATGGTTGGTTTCCCTTTAGCTTCCCCTTTGGTTTCCCTTTATCCAACCACAAAAAGGGATGGATCCAGCAACCAAACCCACACCAATTGTGAGGATGCTACCGCAATTTAAGGGAGTGTGGGAAACCTGCTTTTAAAACAGAGAACCCGTTCGTTGGGGCTAAAACTGTCGTTTCCCTAGCAAAACCAAGAACTTTGAGGGAACCCGGATTCTAAAGGAGGGCCAAACACATGAATATGTGTTCCAATCCCCAAAACGAGCCTCTGTCGGTTTCTTTCTTTCTTTCTTTGTTTGTTTGTTTGTTTGTTTGTTTCGTCTGTCTGTTTGGTTGTTTGTTTGTTTGTTTGTTTGTTTGTTTGTTTGTTTGTTTGCCTGTCTGTTTGTTTGCTTGTTTGTGTGTTTCTTTGTTTGTTTTTGTGTTTGTGTGTGCGTGTGTGTGTGTGTTTTTTGAGGGAACCCGCAAAATGGTGGTTTTCCTTTGGTTTTGCTTCAATGGCAACCAAAAAGGCGAAGCCTTAAAAAGACATACCGATGTTTGTTTGGGGAGTCCAATCTTGACTCATAGTGGCTTGACAAAACCTGGCAGTGAGCCGAGAACCTAAGAATCGCAATCATTGGGATCCCCCTGCGGAGAAATCCACATTTGCTACCAGGGGAATCTAATCAATCTGGTCGAGAATGGATTTGGCGTGAGCTTTTCGAGAACCAAGGCAAAGTGGGCTTGGGCCTTTCCAGCGCCGGCATCGGCAACGCCCTCTCCAACACCAGCGGCCTCTCCGGCCTCGGCGCGCGATCCAACGCTCGGCCCTTGCAGAGCCTGTCGGATATCACGCGCCTAAGCCGCAGGAGTTGAGTTCAACCTTCTCAGTTTGTGTTGGGCTGGGCTGTGGTGTTGTTGGGCTGTTGAGTTTTCCACTTTTCCCATGGTCTTGAAATTGCCGACCCTTCAGTTTTGGGCGGGCAACTGAGGGCGACATGTTTGCGAATCTGTCCACATAGATGGTTTATCCTAATAGTGGCTTTGTCCACAACACGTATCTCCGTCTTGTGCTGGGTTTAGTGGGGAATCAGACCACGTTTGGAGGGGAACACCACGTGTTTTTATCTCGGGTTGATCGATATGGGGTCAACAAGATGCAACATCCAAAGCCACGATGTTTTCGGTTGATCGACAAAATGAAAGCGCCCCAATATTGCAGATATCACTTGATTGGTGGTTTGGATTGGTTTGGGGATTTCACCCCCTGGCTTGGAGATGAATGGAGAACCGCCCCTGTCCCCTAAACCACCAAGGGGGAAGCTGACATCTTGTGGGAAGATGATTCTTACTGTTGATTTCCCTTTAATTATTTCAGACCAACAAAGAAGGCGTGCCTACAAGAAACAGCCAGGCCCATATCCCCAAACCAATCCAAATATCAGTTACCCCCTCACCATCCCAAACCACCAAGAGGGAAGCTGATTTGTGCAAACCAACCCCACACATGTGCATGTGGATACTGATGGACAAACTCCTGCACCACCATTCAGGATTCAGACGCCCTGGCTTCCAACACACGTTATGGTTTCAATGGTGAAGAAGTTGCGGCGAAATGAGTGTCGCAAGCATCCACAGTATGCTTCTCGGATTTTTGTTTGAAGGAACCTTAGTCCCGAAGGGTTTTCGGAGGGTTTCCTGAACAACGCGATGAAGGAGCCCTGGAAAGGATGGAAAAGGAAGCTTCCCGCTGGAGTCCTCGTTGGGCCTTCCGTTGAGGAACCTCCAAGAGCGGGACGCCCGCAAGCCACGACAGCCGCTGGCCGCCCGCACGGCAGCGGCTCCCGCGCCCGTTCCCGCGCCCGTTCCCGTCCCGGTGTCGGCCGGGCCGGTGCCCACGCAGTGCCCGGTGGTGCCCCGGAGGCCGGGAAAAATCAAGTTGCGACAAAGCCGAGGGTTTGATCCAAGAGGTTCTTGACACTGCTTGAAGCTTATACTCGGGTCATTCATTTTCACTGGGGCTGATCAAAGTCAGAAACCTACGTTGTTCCCCTTTACCCCACCACTTAGGGGGTGACTTTGGCTCCTCACTAAAAGGGTTTTTGTATAAGAAACCGTCCGCTGGGAATTTGTGGTTTTGTGCCACGCACCTTAGCTAGGCAGCTTAGCCTGTACCCTGGGGTTCAGGTGCCACCTTTGAATCAAGAGCGGTGCTTTCCACTAATTGGGGGTTTGGCGCCGGTAGCTATTTGGTGGACGTTAGGGGCTATCTCCCCCATTTGGTTTGAAAAGGAACCGGGGTCAAATCCCAAACCACCAATCCAACCACCGCTTTGCCGCTTTGCTGTACGTCGTTGGGCCTGGCAGATATGGGTATGTCTTGTTTCGGGGAACCCGCTGGAAACGAGAAGGAAACAAGCCATTCTTCAGGTCCAACGTCAAAGACTTGCCACCCATACCGGGTTCTGCGGGGGAAAAAAGTAAAAACAAACAAAAAAAATGCAAACGCCCATCTACTCTCAGCCAATTATCTGCCCCTCGCGCCCCCCAACTTCAATGTTGTTAAGGAATGCTGTGATGTCTGAAGCCAGAATGGGTGTTTTGTTCTTTTTCCGCAGGCTTTGTTCGTGCGGGCCACATTCAACTTTGAAGTTGGGGGGTAAGGGGGTGAGCATCTGTTGTCACAATGGATTTGGGGGGGATGGGCATTTGTTTTTTTTTCTTTCTCCGCAGAACCCGCAGAACCCGGTATGGCCAATTTCTGGGTCTGGGTTCCACGGTCCACAAGTGACCAGACGTTGCGAGCAACACTCCAAATCCCCCCAAAGAAAACGAATTTCGGCCACTTGGGCTGGTGGTCTCACTCCCTGACTTGGACGTTTTTAGCGGCCAACCAACAATTTGGCCCGGTCCACTGGGCCCTCCGGTCCACCAACCGCCAGGTCCGAGCGGGGCCTGGGCCTGGAGCGCGATCGGATCCTGGATGAAGCTTCTTGGACGGCAAGTCAGCTGACTCGGGGTATCGGTGCCTTCCCGTGGTTCAAGCATCACCTCTTGGGCCCATTTGATACCCGGATGGCTCCGTTTGCCATCCGGTTCCTGAACCTTTTAGCCTCTTTTAGCGTTTAATGGTAGTTGCCATTTCACCCACCAAAAGTGAAACCTTCAGCGGAGGATCTGAGGGCCCTTCTATACCGTTTCTTTTTTGGTTGGGAGGGGTTCCCTACTACAATAGACTACAGAAAAAGGGTACCCTTATTCTAACCTCTCCACTCGAGGACCTAGATGGAAATCATGCAGCCCAGCAGGTTTAGCAAGAGATTCCTCCAAAACCGACGTCAAGACACTGGATTCCGCTTTAATGTGTATGTTGGCATGGGCCCAAACACGTTCCAGATTTCAGGGGACAGTTTGGGGGTCCTCCCAAAGGGGATTTCTTCTGACCAGCAGGAAGGTGCCGTTCTTGAGGTATCCCTTTCTTCGAGCTGGTGAATTAGAACAGGTCACTCAGCCTAATAGGACCCTTTGAAGACACCTCCGGTCGATTCACAGATCTTTGGAGACTTACGCTCTTGTCGATTCCTGGTTCAAAGCCAGGCGCATCCTGGGCTATTCACCATCCGCGTTTTGCCCACTGTGAAAGGTTTTGAGCAAGGATCGTTTTATTTTAAAGCCCTTGCCCCAGTTCCATCCGCATCCTGTGGGCAAATGTTGGGGCCCTTTGTTACAAGCGGCATTGTGGACAGCTGGGTTGCCGAGTGGATCCATCAGCTCAGTTTGGCCTGGGACTAGGAACCGCCTCACTGTCACTGCCAATCGCCCCGGCTGGCCGAAACTCGAGGAGCCCGTTGGTCAGGGGAAGGGCCCCGGCCATCATCGGCACGGATCATACACCAATGTTTGTAGTGCGATGGATACGTTGATGCACACTCATTTCCGCGCGCGACCGGCATATACAGACATACATATGCATATTTGAGGGGTCTATACATGTATGATATTTACACATATCTGATGCACATTTACATGTGTCATAAACATAACTACGGTGGCAGGCACATGTCTGGTTGCGTCGGCCCAGGCTATGGATGTGTCCAACGAGCGGACCGAGCGGAACACCCGCGTGGCGGAAGAGAATCATGCGCGGAGCCAAGCCGCGGAAGCTAGGACAAGATTTGGCAACGCGCTTTATGTGTGTTTCCCAGTTTTGGTTTCCCTGGAAAACCACCAAAATCAAGGTATTCGTTTATAAACCACCAAGCTAGAGGTGTGTGGGTGGGTGGATGTGTGTTTGTGTTTGTGTGCCTGTGAATCTGTTTGCAAGTGTCCACTTCCCGAGTTCTGTTGCGGACTTTACTCACTTTGGGGGTTTGGACCGTTTGATTCTTGCAAATAAAGAACGTTTGGACTTTTTGTGGGCCATCCACTCGGGAAGTGAGGTGCTTGTGTGTTTGTGTGCCTGCCTGAGTGTTTTCGCGTTTGTGTTTCCAAGTGTGTTTTTAATTTTTGTGAGGCTCCCCTCCCAAAAACAAGTAGGGAACCTGCACTGGGGGTCACAGGGGTTCCCGGAAGACCAGGTTTCCTTGTAAGCGGTTCCATGTTTGTTTTCGAGAGCCCCGGTGTCCCTTTAAGGCCCAGGTTACCCCGAATGGAAGAACCCTGCCCAGAGCGGGGGGGGTGTGGGCGCAGGGGCGCAACAGAAACAATTAGACAACTTTGCTTGAAAGCAGCGCCCCGGATTCGCACAATGCTGGCTGAAAGGGACTCTTTTATCCACTACATTCATTCATCCTGTGTTGTCACGATGACTCTGTGGCCCAGCTACTCGGACAGCCAAGCCGAGCAGCAATTTTTGCTTCATTTGTAGCGAGATCTCGGGATAGGGCCGGGGAATCCGCTCGATCGAAAGCATTTTTTCTTAAGCAACGTCTACTGGTCGAAACATTTGACGATCCGAGGCGGAGTACCTGCCTGAAATCATGGACGCCCTTTTCGACGAGGAGGTTTGCTGCAGGCCTCGGCCCAGTTATATGGAGAGTCTCGGATGCGCAATGCAATGAAAAAGCTCTCTGAACAAATTATACAAGAACCCAGACCATAAGCTGAGTGAAGCGGTTTTGTTTTGTCAACTCCGGACACGAGCTTTTTCTGTTTTTTTGCTTGCTTCCCTTTAAAATCAACTTCTAAAAAGGAATATGCTTTTTCCTGAGCACTGAAAACTGAACCAATCCACTTGGGAACGCTTTGGGATCACCAACCAATTGTCTAGGCGTACCTTCCTCATTCTCTTCAGATACCCTTGTCACCCAACATGTTGACAAATGTTTCCCGAGCTTTCCAAAGAGAATGGTTGAAAACAATGGGGAATCAACCCTAGGTGTCCTTTTTGGATTTGTTTAGATAGGTTTTATTCTTCCATTATCCAGGGGAAACAGGACACCTATGCAATCAACCGTTAGAAACTGGCAGAATGTTTCCTTCCCGAAAAGTTTTGGCAGGGATGCCTCAGTCTTTTCCACCGGCCTATCGGATTGGCGGGTTCCGCGTTGACTTTTCCTGGGAGCTCTCTGAGGATCCAGCCCGACATCAACGGCAAGATGCGCGCCATCCTGGTGGACTGGTACTTTGCCTGAACGAACACAACAAACACGTCATCAGGCAGTTTGTGAGGTGAAGGATATTGATTCATTCCTCAAGTTGCCCGATGTTGCTTCGTGTTTGCATGGTTTGGAGGCGTGTTGCCTGCCCTCCATTCAATGACCAAGCCACGAGGGTAAACCATTGGCATATGTTCCTCTTCCATTTTAATTTTCCAGGCGCCATCGGTCCATCCTTTCCATCCCTGAAAGGGGTGCGTTGAGAGCGGCGGTTTGGCTTCAAGGCGCGAGATTTCGCCAAACCAGCTCATTCACTCTGGTTTGGGTGTGGTATTTCTAGGGGACCCAAGAATGGTGGTATATTCTCTTGGTTTCCTCCAAAACCACCAAGCAAGGGGAACCCCGGGGTACTGGCATGGTTGGGCCTTTCAGGGTTTGGTTGCGAAGCCTTCGGGGCATATAAAATGTCCTGGTGGCTTCTATCCCAAAGGCTCCATTCCAGAAACTTCCATGAAGCATTGAGAAATCGAGGGAGGGAAACAAACTGGAGCACCCTGGAAACCGGGTTTGGTAGTTATGTTTCATTTCGCAAGGATCGCCTATGCAATCCCCAAATACTATGTTCCCCCTATGAATAAACGCAACCTAGTGGACAACTCTATGCTTTTTCCAAGACCCCAAATCTCCCAATACTAAATTATATGTTGCCAATAATAAACCGGCAAATGTCCCGCAGACCCCAACTCCCGTCTTATTTGGGGACATTTTGGAACCAACACCAGACCTATACTAAACCACTTGGAAGCCAATTCGGAACCAGAGCAAATCCAAGAAAAAGTACTCACATTCAGCTGCAGAAGTTGCTTGCTCTGAAGAAGGGGGGTGGGGCGTGGGGAGGCATTTGGACGACCGTACCGGAACATACACACATTTCTGGGGCCCGACAATTACAATGAATTAGACTATCGGTCTGTGCTTTTTTTCGGGGACCACCAGCCACCACCCACAATAGTTGTTAATTCAACATCCCACAGGTTTTATGCCATCTCACCACCATGCCACCACCACCCATCTCATCTTTTTGGTTTTGAATGTGATAAGGACAAAGGAGTCCTTTGGCGTCTGAGGCTTGTGGAGGTGCACATGAAGTATCGGCTGCGGGAGGAGTCAGAGAATTTGCGTCGGGGGTCATCCCGCCAAACGGTGCGAATTCTCCACGGCTTTTTAAGCCGCCGATTTTTCCTGAGTATTTATCCCCAAGTTCAGCGCAGTTGTTTTGAATCGGTTTCCGGAATGATGCCCTGCCATTGCTGCCCGTTTTTTCTTCTTGTTTTACAGTCCAGCTTGAAAATCAACAAAAGGGTGGCCTTTCCGTTGCCTTTTGTACTTCGGATCCGTGGATTGTTGAGAAGGAGTTAGTCCCGTACGGATTCTAACCGACCAAAGTAATTCGCTCAGACAGCTTCTTTTGTTGCATGGGGGCAGCATTTTCCCCTACACGAGTGGTATATGACCGCTACCCCCCTGAATGCTGCCAGTCGCAGTTGCGCGCCAAACAGCCCATAGTTCTTCGCATCCATCAAGCCAAGCGAGGGTATTGCAAAGTTTCATAATTTTCCAGACCCCCTTTTTTTCGGCATCTAGTGAGGTGCGAGGGGAGTTCGGGACACGGCAAGTGTTTCATGTTTTGAGGTTGCCCAGACCTGTCTTCAGGTCACCCCCGCGGTGGTATGGATTGGTGGCTTGGGGTCATTGAACCCCTAGTTTTGAGTCTGTAAATGGGGTCTCCCACCCGTACCGGCCTCCAAACCACGGATTCGGCTCCAAGAGGGAAGCGATCACGGCCCCTCCAAAACACCCGATTCGGCTCCAAATCACCCAGAGGGACGCAGTAACCTGGTCTAGCCACGATAAGGCGATCGATGTGAGGCAGCACACCCTCACCTCCAACTCACCGATTTCCGGTCCAACTCACCGAGAGGGACGCGTGAGGAGACCCTCTTCTTGGCGGTGAACTTGATCGACCGATACCTCTCCAGCCTGCCGGTGATCCGCCGGCGCCTCCAGTTGGTCGGGGTCACCGCCATGTTCGTCGCTGCCAAGTTCGAGGAGCGCACGGAAAACGCGCGTGACGCGCGTTTTCCGCGTCGAAGAAGAAATTCCTGGCTTGCCGTGGGAAATGACTATTGGTTTTCCCCCCAACTGACAGCTTCATTGGCGGGAAAAGCGGTTGGAGGTGCCATTGTTGAGGGTTGGCTCGAAGGGCCAGAACAGACCGACCCCACGATTCTTGTGGGGTTCCCCTTGTAGAGGCATTCCTGTAGGTGATGTGTAGCAGTTTATTTGACATGAGGATGACAACAAGGATCAACAAGGCTTATATATGGGTCTGGTTTCTTTTTTAGTTTTAATGGGAAACACACCAACAGGAAGCCAACCATTTTGGGACCCTAAAAAGCACAGTTCGGTTTCAAGCTTTCTCATCGTCTTAGTAGAATCGGAAGCCAGTGGATTTCTCTTGAAGGCCTTGGTTTGTGAGTAATTTTGACCCGCATACAGCCGCATGATTAATTGGGGGGCGTTTGTTCCCTCGAAAAGTGAAGGATTGGCACCAACAGGGGACACCCCCCTGTTAATCAACCAGGGGCATATTAATGCGGAGTTAATATTGCCCCCGCAAATAGATCTAGCAGTTGGTGAGCGTCCAGCAGATTCAAGCAGCTAAGATCAGCCTGCCTATGTTTGCCCCCCTTGTCTTTGAAAGTTTTACATGTTCGATAGCTACATTCCCACTGCTTTACCAGGTTCTTGTTGAACGTTCTGCATACCTGCCAATTCCAACTGGTGCCTAACGTTGCGATGTTGTAACTGTCAGTATGAGTTGTAAAGGAGTGGTTAATTTTGTTTTGGTTTCCTCTTACAGCCATTCAACAGGGGAAACCCACATGGTGAAACATGCAAGGCTTGGCGATCCGTGACGCCAGGAGATCAACCCGCCAAGGGCCAGCAACTTCGTGTACATCACGGATGCCTGGTCAGAACAATCATTGGACATTTGTCATTTGCTAGGCAACAAATCCCAGCAGAGGAAATGCATGACTGCGAGATTCTGCGTTGTGGTTTGGTTTCGTAAACTTTTACGAGCCGCCCCCCAAACAGCAGGTTAATGCTGATCTAAAAACCTGGGAATTGTTCAATTGTTCCAGCACTCAGCTTGCCCACAGGACCCGGAAGTGTGGACAAGTCTCAACAAATCTACCTGCCATGTTGAATATCACATGCATCCGCTGATTTACAGCGGATCTGCTCCGATTGTCCGCTTGTCAAGCTTTTAGCTGGTAGTTGCGTCACGAAGGCCCAGCATTTGCTAAAGCCCCCCTCGTACTCGAGTTTCCACAGTTGTTTCTCTAGTTTCTCGCGAAGCAGCGCAGAGTTTTCCTCGAGGCAAGTCTTTAATTGCGGTTTCATTTGCTGAGACAGATGCCCTCCTTTGTAGCTTTTGGTGATAAGTGCCGGTTTCCTTGTGGTGTCAGAAGGACCCTGGCATCCATTACTCTATAGGGAAAGCTTTCCCATTCAATCCAGTCATTCTTCCTTCCAAAAGAAGCACCCGAATCTGGAGATTGCTTGTTTATTTTGGGAAATAAACATGCGTTGAACCGAATGAAAAAGGAATCACCAGAACAACTGCGCCTATGTGATGGCAAGCTCGATCCAGGGTTGAAGCAAGCTTACCATGATGTAGGATCTTTCTTGGGTTGCCTTGTTCCCGGTCTGGGAGTCATTAAATTGTTATTTGCAGATTACTCCTTGGGTCGTCTGCAAGTTGCTTGCTATTGAACAGACCGATGCTTTGCCCAGAATGGAACAGTCAACTCTAGGGGGTTGATTCCCCATTCTTTTCCGCCATCATTCTTTTCAACAACCAGCCATTTCCCCAGGCTGTTTGGTTGTTGTCTAAAAGAATGGGGAAGTTACCCCTAGATCAATTTCAGAATATCTCTCCCAACCGAGGACAGCACCTACAGCAAGGAGGAGTTGCTGCAGATGGAGTGCGCCATGCTGAATTGCGTCAACTTCCAGGTGGTGGTCCCTACAGCGCCCCGCCAGCAACCAACTCGGCTCAAGACTCAACTTGCTGCCTGAGTTCCTGGACTTGAAACCTGGGTCCCCCAGCTAGGTGCCCTTCTACCGTTTCTTTCTTGCGGGGGGGGAGGGTTGCTAAAATAGACTACGGAAAAAAGTTGGTGCCCTTATTCTAACCGCTCAAATCTGGAGGACCTAGAAACTGTTCAAATAGTTTTTAGTTGTAAACAGCATATTGGACCTTTGTTTCGGGCCATCCACTCAGGAAGCGAGTCAAACATGGGTGCTTCTTTTGCGAGCTTGGTCTGTTCTTTTGCGGGGACAAGACACACGCCTTAAGACTTGAGTTTCCTTCAGCTAGGGACTGGTCACCCGTCTTCCAGGGTATAGCAACCCTGCACCCTGAACCTCCCGATAGCTAACTCGAAGCAACGCCGTACCTCTGTAACTCCCAATCACCTGTATCTCTTCTTCAATTATTTAGGCACCCTGCTTCTAACTTGCCTTCGGCATTTGTTTTCTTCCTTTCAAGTTCAATTCCGACCCGCAAAGCGTGAGCCTTTTGGCTTTGGGTGTAGGTTTGGCCCAGTTTGAGAGCGCTATTGTTTGACAGCCTCCACCGTTTGGGCCGGATGATCGAGTTTCTGTTTTGTGATGTTTAGGGGGCTTTTGTGATGTTTAGGGGGCAAAGAACCTGCGTTGGCAGTCTACAAAGGGAAGCCGAAGGCAAACTGAAGGCAAGTTTTTGAGGGCTTGAGGGCTCTCCGATCTTGAGACACACTATTTGAGGTTTATTTGGACTCCCTTCCAGCCTGTTCTCAGACCCGGCTCTGCCTTGTGTATTTGCTTTGTTGAAAGGCGCCGAGGAATTGCAAGGGGACTCTCTAACGGAGTGTTCACGGTTTGTCGTTCAGGGGACTCTCCGCGCGCTCGCTCGGGTTCGATTCGCCGCGGCTTTCGCAGTCGGCGGAATGCATGGGCCAACATGATACCACCAGGGGACTGCAGGTTTTAGTCCTTGTTTCCATTCACCGGGGTTCCTTTTTGGTGTTACCCGATTTGTGACCCACACCCCAACTCGGCGAGGCAGCCCACTTCCTGCACCCCTTCCTCCAGGCGAACAACTGCGATGGCCCCAGGCACCGAGAACTCATCAAGCGCCCCGCCGGCAGAAAATGGAAGGCGACGTTTCGGCTCACGAAAGGCCGAAAGGGGGTGGGGAAACTTTGAAGAAGCAAACATGAAACATGATAATGTGGGGGGGTGGGTTGGGGAGGTTGAGGTTGTTAGGGATGGGTTGGGTTTGGGTCAGTAGCAAATTATTGCTGCTGAATTACTGCAAGAATAAAGTCCATGCCGTTCGTAGCTGATCGAGTCGCATCGAGGTACGTCCTGGAACTGGCACTGCTGGACTTGCGCATGATCCGCAGCTCGACGAGAAGTTGAACAAAAGCCAGGGCTTTTCTGCTGGTGCGATAGGAAACCATAGGTTGGGTGGTTTGTAGAGGTCATTCCAATTCGCATTCCCTGCTTATCACACCAGCAAGTTTTGTTTAGGTAGTCCGTACTGCGAACTTCGGACTATTCCGGAGGACCCTACTTAGAGGAACCCTCTGAAATTGATCATTACTAAAAGGGGAACCACCCCTGATTAGTACGGTCCTCCAGATTAGATTTTCATTTTTGGGTGGTTTACAAGTCAACTTTTCGCAGGTTGAGCGCCTCTTTTACGCCATGAATTGGAACCGCTGACCAGGCTCAATTGTCATGGGCCTGTTGGACCCCCCCGGTATAGGTGCCGCGGGGCCCAAGGGCCCAACCCAACCCAAAGCTTGTGGCAGATGGATTCGTCGGACTCCTTGATATACATATATACATATATTGTTCATTATATGGTACCCCCCACCATGGACCCTGGTTTGCATTTGACCTGTATGTGTCCAGTGTGCCTTTTTCTGCTTCTGGGATTTTGTGTCAACATTACGCGGGGGGTGTGCCATATGTGCACATGATATGCATGCATGCATACATATGTGATAAAATCAATGACATCAGCATTTGCAATCTGAAAGAGTTTGAATGCATCCAAGAGTATTAGAACAACTCATAAATGTTCATTGTGTTAAACAAACATATTACGGATTCAACATGTTGAGCAAATGTTTTCTGGGGATGTTGAATCTTGAATCTTGAATCCTATGTGTTTGTCATCTGTTTTTTAGGGTTGTCCCAATACTCTCGGTGTTCAATAAGATTCTCGGAAAAGCTTTCCGTGAAACACGTCAATCTCAAATCTTCAATCCAGTGGTAAAATACGTTCGAGGTTTTAGAACAATTAGAACAATTTGAACAATTTTAGGGGTTGACCACGATGGACGATTCTCAGGAAAGTTGTTGTTTGTGCCTTCACTGTTGAAACCTCAATCCAGTGGAAAAGAACTTTCAAGTGTTAGAAGAACTTGAATGTTGTTTGGGTTTGGCCAGGATTGACAACTCTCAGGAAAGTGTTCGGTGTGATCTTCAATCTTGAATCTTCTATTCAGTGGTAAAATACTTTCAAGTGCTTAGCGATCCAGTGGAAACACTTCCAGGTTATTAGTTAGACAGACTAGCAAGTGCTTTTGGTGAGCGGTTTGCTTCATGTCAGCTATGCTCATGTTGACCCCTTTTCAGGAGGTAAACACAGGCAGGTGGGAAACGGCTCAAAAACACTGTATTTTATAGCATTTTGCCAAGAGGCGCAGGATCGTTAGGGGTACTATATATGTGTGCATGTATATATACGTATACATATGTATGTTCACGCACCGTCACCCCCCCGCTCTTGAACTACCTGTCCACATTTGCTCATCTACTACCTCAACCTTTTGAGATAGAATGAATTTGTTTTCCTGTGCAAATAGAGCTTTAATATACAACTGATGTAGCTAGAATTCCTGTTTCGAGATAGTTATAGAATATACACCTCTCTTCCCTTGAAACTTCCTTTTGGAACACCGTCTAGCAAGTTTAATTTCGGACCTTTCTTATGCTACAAAAGGGCCAGAATGTAAATAACACAACTCGTGTTTCGAACTTCCTTGTAGAAGCCCCTTAAAAGTTTAGCCATTTTTCATATGACTTGTAATTGAGAAGTAGTCTCCGTTTAATTGCTATCATCAACAGCTATTTGAACTGTGTTCGTATTAGATAATATTTATATCGCTTCGCGATCCGCCGACGCCGGTGGGGTGCAAAGGATTTTAAGATCTTTTTTATTTTTCCCATGGAAGTGATGCTGGGGATGCTGGACATGCAAGGGATGCAACCACACAACGTACAGGAACAGATGTTGCGCAGAAACTGCTCTGTGCAGGTGGGGAATTGCAAAAAACCACTCATTTTTGCAAATTCAATCAGTTCACTGCACTTGGCCCCACCCAGACCCAACATCGCTTGGAACAGCAAAGCGCCATTTGTATCTGCCAAAAAAAAGGCCAATTCATGGCAGCAAGATAATCCTGATGATGCCGGGGATGCAGATCCTGCGCGTCCGAGGAACCCCCCCCCCCCTAGACACCTAGGCGGCACGCAAGCCCCAAAAACACTGGAAAAAATGCAGGGTCTTGGACACCCAGCACACCATGCTCAAAAAGTGGCAGCCCCAAAAGCCGCTTTGATAAGAGATTCCGAAGGAAGACCAAGTTGCGGACTGCCATCTACACGCTCGACTGGCGTCGGCGGATTAAACACATAGATTATATTTGGGAATGCGCTCCAATCTAACTTCTTGTGTTAAAGATTAGTTGGAGCTTACCCGAAACTCTATCTACATTTTCATGTAGCTGCTATTTGGAAAGCATTTGCTTATTAAAGCTGTGACTGAACATAAACACACAAAAAAAACTGTGTCCTATCTAAATTGTAATCAACATTCTGATTCTAGTTGAATTGAAATCCTATGTGGAAAGGGTATCATATTGGGACATTTCGGAAGACTCTGGGCTCCAAATGATGAGGCTTTGGGACCCATAATTCGAAATTTCGAGAGTTTGAATCTCGAGATTCTAGGTTTGCCATACATGTATGTATGTGTGCACATATATATATATATATACGTGTATATATACATATATATATATATTTATATTTATGTATTTGGGCGGGGCGGGGGGGGGGGGGGGGCGCGAGGCAAGAACCCTAGAGCGTACTTATGGCTGGCTCTTGATTCTACAAGTATTCAGTCAAACCATTGCACTGTTTTTTTTGGGCGCCCTACAAACTTTTCCCTCATGGTTTTTCCTTTTACACAAACAAAGAGTATCAAGCCGACCCAGGCATCCAGCCCCATCAAGCCTTTGGCCAATCATTGTTGGGTATGTTCTTCTTTCAGGGTACCGGCTGAATGAAAAGCAAACCTGGTTCATGCTGGATAAGCCTAAGCCAAGGATAAGTCCTCAAGGTCGAAATTTGGGTTCATAAGCTTCAGTTCTCCCCCCCCCCCACTCCCAGTTGGTCCCCCTTCACTCCCAGTTGGTCCCCTTCAGGGCCATGACCTTCCAGGCTTCCTGAAGGGATCTAATTTATAGGGGTCATTCCATTTCTCATCTCGAGCCAGCAAGAGCTGTGGCTGAATTCTGGGAAAGCCTAAGCCAAGGATAAGCCCTTCAGGCCGAAAAATTGGGGCCCTACGCACGACGCCTGGATCAGCTCCAGGCGTTTTGCCCTCGGAGCTGCTGGCCGCGGCGGTGCTGTTGGGCAACGAGCTGATGGCCCGCCAGGCGCCGTGGCCCCGGGCCATGGAGCTGGCCACGCGCGCCTCGGCTCTCGGAACTCGGGGGCTGAAGGCGGGAGGTGCCTCGAGAGGAAGCGGAAGCCCAAGGAAAAAGCAAAAAACCAGCGCCAAGCCAAGGGCAACTCGGACGAGTTGCGGAACTGTGCTGTTCAGAACGTCACCATGATTTACAGTTTTGCTTATGATGAAATTAGTATTGTTATTGTGTTGTGGTTGCATTTGTTTAGGTAACCCTGAGTTGGTAGTTTGGATTGGTTTGGGGGTTTGAATCTCTGGTTCTTGTAGAGGGTAAATGGTCCACCAATCCAAACCACCTCACCGAGGGGTCCTGGAAGACCAGATACCTCTAAAAAGGACCCTCTGAAAAAAGGTGTTCTGTTGTTTTATGTTTATTTTATGCTTTTCTCTTTTTTCCTTTTTTGTTTTCTGGGGGGGAGCAGGTACCCTTTTTTTGGTGGTCCGGGAAACAGAAAAAAGACCGAAATCTATGCCTGCGTCCAAAGTTATAGTTTGACACATCCACATTATTTGTTTGTTGTTTCAAAACCCCAGTTCAGCACCCATTTCAAAGCCACTTTCAGCGCCAGTTGTTTATGGGCTGGCGGCTGGGCAATGTTTCAGGGGCAACGGGAGCCCTGCCAAGGGCAACATGTGTCCTGCGGGCCGGCCCGCTGCGTCGGAGTGGTTTCGTAGGTTTATGTTCACGCTTCGAATTCGTGGCAGCCGGCTGGTCCTAAAACGCACGATTGTTTCAAGATTTGTTCAAAGTCACCAAATTCAGCTTTGGGTCGGCGTTGTCGTTGAAATCCCTGGGTCTCGTCGGCTGGTTGGGCATGGTCTTGCTGGAGCAAGGAATGAGGGAATGGACCTGGGGATTACCTTATATAAAGGAAACCGTAGGTTAGATGGTATTCCAATTCTCATTCCCTGCATCTCTCGCACCGTAGCTCCTTCCTTGAACCGGGCCCTTCTCCAACAAGAAGAAATCAGACTGGGCCTCTCTTGCTTTTGTTGTTGTTGTTGTTGTTTTTGCAGGTGGAAGATTGGTGGCAAGTTCAAAGCCTGAAGTCTCCTTAATTTACCGTGGCCCCAGTTTGCAATGTTTAGATGGAATCCACCGTCTGTCTGGGGAGGTTCAAGCTCAGGATTCCCCAGATCCCGATTTATGTAGTTTCGATATCACACATGTGTGGCCTTAAAAACTGAACTTCTTTTGCGGGGTTAAGTTGTGTAGTTGCAAATGTAGGAAAAGAGTTAAAAACCATGGCTAGTTAAAATGCAAACACTGTCAGCCAACAGGAGTTGCCCCCCCCCCCCCTTGCTGGTTGTAGCCTACGTGGCTTGAACATCCAAGGGAACCTCCCTCTGTTTCCGAGAAGCTTTGCAAACAAAACTAAACTTGGCCAGCCCGTGTGATTCACGCGCCCAGGGCACACGCAGGCGCAGCTGCGGCCGCTGGCGGACGAGCTGCATGGGCTGTTGCGGCAGGCGGGCGGAGGGTTTGGCCGGAAAAGTTCCCCCACCCCCATCAAAGATTTCGCTGTGGGTCAAAACCAATGGTACCATTTTAGGGTAGGTGCACCACATTTTTTCTTTTTTAGTGGTGATTGGGATGTTCACTGGGGGTACGGGATTTTGACCCATGGATACATGAGAGCTGTGCGCGTTATCATTTGCCCTTGTGATTTATTCTCTCTTTCCGCTGCCATTTAATAGTGGATGTGGAGGGGTGACGAATAAAAGGCCAAAGGCCCCCCCCCCACAACCCCCCAGCAAAAAGGGGAGAAGCTTTTGAATTCTGGGTAACTGCCCCCACAACCCCCCACCTAACACATGGGTGGGAACATGGTAGGGTTTTCCCCGATTTCAGGCGCCCACGCAGGCTCTGGAGGCGGTGCGTCGCTTTGGCTGAGAGGGGCTTTTTGGGATGGGCCGTGGGCCGTGGGTTGCCGGGGGGGGTTTTTGTGGGGTCGTTCGTGGGTTCGGACTATTGGACGGGGCCAAAGAAACTGGGGCCTCTGAAAAATGTGCTTTGTCTTTCGCTATGAGACAGGTTTTGGCACGGTTTTGGACATATTTTTTCTACCCCAGAACTGGGCCAAAAGATGAGGCCCGTCTATTTGGCGCTTACCAAACCTACCTGGCGCTTCAACAATCCGGGATCTTTGGATCTTCGGAGCGGAAGATTGGTGCCATCGAAGGCCTGCGCCGAAGTTATGCTTCGGATCTCTTTTCATGAGTTTTTGCGTATTGAAGCTTTACGCTTGGACCAGAATGAAAAAGTGTCTTGGTTGGCAAAAGGGCAAAAGGTGCCCCTCAACTCTCAATTGGAGGTTTGGCTTTATGCGCATGCTTGTTTACAAAGACATACTGCGCATATGCATATGGCCATGAATTTTAATGGGGAACCACCTCAACAGTGATTGGTGGACATGAATCCCCATGTAAATGATGTCCACCAAAAGGTCCCTTATTAAAATTCATAGCCATATGTGCCCACCTAGGGTCAATGCCTATGCACATATATGCAATATATGTCAATGCTGGTGTCTACATTGGCTATGGGCCTAGGTGTCAAGTACACAGTCTCTAAAAGGCAGCAAGGACTGTAGATATGTCCCTTGAACCGAGGCAAGAAGTACATGTTGCAGCAGCACCACTGTGTTGCAAGCGCAGCGCTGGCGGGCGCATAAACCGACGCCCAGCCGAAATGCACGGATGGCTCCTGATATGAACTCATGGCCATTTTGGGCCCCTTGGTGGCTGGTTTTACATGGCCTCCAGGTGCCCACTGACTAAGCCAAACGTGATGGTTACTTAACAAACGGGTTCCCTACTATGGCTTCATGTCAGGGGTCATACATTCAGCCGTTGACCGATGCACGATTAACGATCGCTTTCCAGCACCGGGTGCGGCGCCTGCAGACAGGATTTGTTCCCAAAGTGACTTACTGGCAGCGTTCTCACGGTTTTCTTGCAGACCTGTGTCTGAAGTCAAGTCTTGAACCCGATGACGCGCCCGGTGTTGCTAATTCTTATTCGATTCAGCAAGCTAGCTGGCAGAGAACAGCGGCATACCAATGCTCGTTTTTTTTCATGCTCAAGGGCGCTTCGCAGTCGCAAGCGCCGGAGAGCAATTCGATGCGCGCATGGAAACTCTTTCTTTGCTGCCTGCACGTAGGCACGCAGCGTGCGAGCGCTCAAGACGAACGGCATCGCGATCCAGTAGCCTTCACCAAGGTTGACCCTGAATCAACTTGGGATCAACAGGGGGCCATCCACAAAAAAATGCATGTTCTTAGAGATTGGAGTCACCCTCACATAATCAACAAGGGGCTCAGGATTCCTGGGTTCCCACAATTAGCCATGATTGGTTTTCCATGTGTTGGGCTGTTAGCTGTTGGGGATGATTTTCTGGAAGTCCTGTTTTGTTTGCTGTGTGTGGGTGTTTGTTTCGGACCTTTTCCTCGGGGAGCGAAGCAGATAGTTTGATCTGCCCTGCGCACACTTTTCTGGCTCCAAGTTCAAGTTGCTCCTTGCCGCTAGTCTGCTCAGGAATGCATGGATTCTAAGTACATCATAGCGAGCTCACAATGGTCCAGAGGACCCTCAACAACCGGAGGGATGCAATTGGACTCGCCCTGACTCATTTGCAGACGCTTTGCGCGCAAGTCTGTGAGCTGGCTCGCCAATTCAAGTGCATGTGAGAGGCCCCGCCTCCGGTCACACAACGAACGAATTCGCCTGCTAGCGTGCCACATGGCCAAAAAGAAGCACATACTGAGAGCGCACGTGGATGGACAAGTTCCAGCACCAGTTGGGCCGGGTGAATTGACTAGCATGGAATAAACCACCAGCTGGTGCCAATTGGAGCACGTAGATTTTCTCAATCCATAGTAGCACCTGGGCCCAGGCTTTGGGTTCATCAGATGGTTCCCGTGAACCTTGGCTGCCTTTTGAATTGCCGGCTGATCAGTCCAGTACGGAGTGTGCATGCTTGGATTTAGCACTTGACATACTTTTGGCATTCCCGCCATCCTAGAAAGGGACCATCCAAAGAGACATGGCCATGTTTTATTCAGATTCTTACTTCTAGAGTAGTGGGGCAAAACAGACACCAAACTGTTTGCGACTAAACTGGTTTGCCCAAACAGTTTGAATAATTTGGAAAAGTGGCTTGCATGGGCCCTCACTTGCCAAACCTTACCAAACACGTGGACATGGTCCGTTTTAGCTGCTGGACGACCTTGGTATCCATGCAGGTTGTCTTTATCGGCCCACACGTGAAAACATGTGGCATCGATTAATTGGCAGCCTCAAACAGCGACACCCACCAAAAACAACTGTCAACATTGGGTTCTGTAATCCGGGATTCCCAGTACAAAAGCAGCCAAACATTTGATTGTTCTTTATGGCTATTTGGTAATGGATCTTTGGACTTCGACTTCTTTGTTGAAACAGCTTGGATTTCCCGTATTGGACCCACAAAAGGTAGACTTTTTGGAGAGGAGTCAGTCAACAGCAAAATATCATGTTAGTCCATTCTGAAGCTGAGGCTATGACATAAAACAGCTCTCCCAAACCTCTCGCTTCAAAGTTCCCTTCGGTTCGTTTCCTCGGGGCTCAAACGCTTCGGACGCTTCGCCCGAAACGAAACCCCACGAGGTCCGAGGAGCACCGGGCCAACGTGTCGCAGGCCTTGTACGCCGACGGCCTCCGCTACGAGGCTGCCGAAGTTTCCGCGGTTTTGTGTTGAGGACGGCCTGTGCCATGGTTGTTGGGAAACATCTTGCATTTTGCTTTTTGTGGTTGAGTGGTTGAAATCCAACCACTTAACTGCTAAGAATTAAGTTTTGCTCCCCTTCCAACGTCAACCAAGGTGCAAACATGTGCAAACTAGCCCTAAGCCCACCTTGAACCAACCGAAAGTCCAGCCTAAAACCACCCCAAACTCACCGAAACCCAGCCAAAAAGCCAACGAATTAAGCCGGAGCCCGCAAAACCAAGCCAGTGCAAATCCCAAACCCAACCTCACTTACCCTAAACCGACCCTAAATTCGACCTAGGCCTTTCCTAAACCCGCCGCAAAGCACACCAACCCTAAACCCACGAAAACCGTGGCCAACCCCAAGCCAACCCTTTCACCCAGATTGACAAGCCCTTGGTTGGTTCATGGGAGGTTATTCCATTGAAGATTCATCCAGATAAATCCAGGTCTAGATGGCACAAAGAGGTGTCCCACCCACAACCCCTCCAATTGATTGGGTGTTGTGGATAAATCTTCCACTGGACTCGTGCGCCTCATCGCCTGCTCGCGCGGATCGCTTGCGAGGAGCTCAAAGCCAGCATCCGGGAAACGCATGACATGCCCTGGCCTCATTCGGCCGTTTCAGGTGTCCTGAGTTTCTTTGGTCCGTTTGTTTGGTTGGCACCCCTTCTTTGGAGGGTTTAAAGAGGAACCAAAAAACAACCACCATTTTTGGTGGCCCACCGCGAAAAACCGTCACACCCATTTGATTGGTTGTTCAGCCGTGGTTTACTTTGCTTTTGTTTATGTTGAAGGTTGCTGCTCCTGACCAGAGTTTGCCGTTGAAGCGCCTTGACTTGACAATTTAGGGAGGAGCTTCCTGCGGCTCAATGCTGAAGTTTGAAGTTGGGCCCCCCCGCAATGTGGAACAATGCCGCAGATATAGATTTCTGGGGAGGTTTGGGGCTAGGCCAGGTGCGCTGGGCTTTATTGATGCCTGACCCAGTCCTCCGATTAGCCAGGCTTGGCCTATGCTTTAGGCCCCGAACCAACACACGTGCAAAGCTAGATCCTCATTCCCATTGTACAAGGATGGGTCAGGAGCTTTCTTGAAGCATGTCTTTCCTTTTTTTTCCCTTGGATGGTACAAAGGAAAAGCAGGCATAGCGGCATACCAAGGGAGGCCATCTCGGTCAGAGTCAATGGTTCTGCTTACTCGGTCGTGTTGCCCTGCGCCACTCTCGAAGCGAGGGTTGGAGTTGTGTTGGTTTTTGCTTGCTGGTGCTCTGTGGGGACTGACCCAGGGGTTAGGAATGAACCTAGGGGTTCCCTCATTCCCTGCTAAGAAGCAGCAAGTTTGGGTAGGGGTGCTGGCAACTGGATGCTTCCGCTTGCACACTCTAGCCAGCAACCCTGGAACGTGGCCGGGTGTGGGTAAGTCCTTGGCCCCTATGTAACTTCTGTGCCCATCTTGATGCACCAAGAGGGGTTTGACCCCAAAAGTACTGTTTGAACCCGGGGGCGTACCCTCCACAAACTCTTTGCGTGTGCCCCAGGCAGCTTTTTTACTTGCCCGCAAGGGGGAGAAGGGCGCTGTGCGCAGGCTTCCAGGAGGCCGACTTCGCCTTGCTCACACGGCCCAAAGCGAATCGACCTGAAATGACCTTTCGGTTTTTCCATGCGGTTCCCATTTTTAGAGGCGGCAGCAGATCGGCTTTTTGTTTCTGGGCCCCAGCGCGACTGAGCTTCCGGGCGCTTTTTTCAGGGCCTCACGTCTCTACGCGCGGCTATCGGTGCCGGGAAGCTTAGCCAGACCTGTTAGCATTGGCCGCTCCAAGAAATGGTCAACTGGTCGGGTCCCTGGTCTTGCAGGGCTGCTGTTCCCCAGTTGCCCAGTTGCGCCTTTTTTTCCTCTTTTTTTTTGGGAAGGGTTCCCCTTTTAAACTCAACCAACCAAAAAAGGAGGCCCTTTTCTTCCCATGGCCACTGGGCATCTGAGGTTATTTTGCTTTGTCATCAACCATTGTGGGTGGAAATGAAGGGTCCCCTGGATTGAGTGTTTTGCTGATCCGTGTAGGACTTACACTCTGTTCTTGCGCTTTGTGGTTCAACACGTCACCTTTGGGGCTCAATTTGCGCGTTGTTCCCTTTGGCGAACAAAGGACAGGTGTTCAAACATATTCAGTCAACTTCCGTTTTGGGAGCGTTTTTTTCAATCGTTTCCCTTGAGACTTCTTAGTGTCAAGCGACGTGAAGATGAGGAGAGCGAGGACATTTGGCGAACCGAGCAGTCGCTGTAGGGGACTCTGGTGCTTAGTTCAATTGAACAAGCCATGCGGGCTTCCCCATGTACTGCAAACTGGGTCCATGACTGGGTGCATGTGTTGGACCCCACTGGCTTCGTGTGTTGAACCCCACAAAGGTCCACGCCAGAAATCGTGGTTACTTTTTGGTTTGACCTTTGGCGGAGTCAACCCCTGAACTATCACAGTTGTCCTCATAGCTTATCAGCAAAGCGTGACTGACTGTGCGGGGCCTTCATGAACCCATTGGGTATCAAGAGGACTTTCCACTGCATCATCTATGGTAGGTGCATCAAAACCTCTCTCGCTGGGTTCATTAATTTTGGGAAGACCATGTTGGTTTCAAGCGAGAAACAGGTGAGTCCTTCAATTCAGTGTCCTGTTCCTTTGACCGAAGCCAAGGCATCGCGCGGGCAGAGGGCTTGTGACCTCCAGGTGCGGCGGGTGGACACAGCGATTCGGTCGGTTCAAAAAAGCTTCCAATGGTTAGTGGAAACAAGTATATACTGATATCCCCAGCTCCTTGGAATGGGGGGGAGGGAGCTTTTTGCCACTGTGTTTAGGAGAGGGCTAGCTTGTCCCTCCGAGAAAGCGATCTTGCCACGAAGGACCCTGTTTGCTACACTCAGGGGGTTTTGACCATTGGAAAACCATGTATGGCAGCCCATGCTCCCCTTTGGGGAAGACCAGGTGGCATGGCATCCTTTTTATGAGAGAATGTAAAGCCGGCCATCCGTGATGTTCAATTTTGTT